ATCATCATCAATTGGCGCTATTGGATGAAGGCCTTCCCATGCCACCATCACCTCCCGCACACGAGCCAAATTGCATCGCTCCATCTCCTCGGCGGACGTGTACAATTCTTTAGGCCGCCACTTCGTCGTCATTGTTCTCGACCATCTCTTCTCGCGACGTTGCCCATCCAAGGTGTCTCTCGATGCAATTCCAAGCATGCAACTCTTTGTGTTTCTTTGCGCACAACCGGTATAAAACATGAAACATTAATGTCCAAACAAAGTATATAACCACAGAATGTGTTTTTCTATATATATATTTTTTTAAATAAGCACTAACACTTAATATTCAAGTCTACACATATTGCACTGTCGAAGTCTATGCTCCCATAATAATTTCACTTCTTTACATGAAATCATACATATACAATAAAAATATATACTTTTTCTTCTTTGGTTCTTTCGGTAAAGTCACGTAGAATGAGAATAAAATAATAAATTGATAAAATAAAATAACACAATAATATACTCTCTGGAGGACAGCGCTGTCCTCCAGACAGTCTCGTCCCTTCACCTGATGAAGGCCGCTTGTGTTGTGGCCGAAACGTCGTGAGAATATTATTGTGTTATTTTATTTTATCAATTTATTATTTTATTCTCATTCTACTTGACTTTACCGAAAGAACCAAAGAAGATGAATCCTTGCAGTCACGAAAGCTTTAAATCGAAATATATACGTTTTTCAGACATTGGAATTTCGGGCCCAATTTCATCTCAAGTACCACGGTTGGCTACATACGGTGCGACAAACTTTCAACATGCATACATTGTAAATTAAATTAATGTAATAATTCTAATAGTTATAAACATCATTCACGATAACAGAGGTTTTTGGGTTAGATCACGTAAATTTGTGTTAGAACGCGTGACCTCGATTATGGATGATAAACTGATCAATCACCGAAATATCCTTTTTTACATAAAGTTTTAAAAGTTAAAAATATATTTTGACGTCATTTAAAAAACATGTAATTCCATAGTTTAAGCAAAAGGGACATCATATGATGGCACTTTTGGTAATTAGAGGAAGCGAAGTCACAATCCTCTGACGTGACGTTTTCGGATCAATCCGAATAAAAAAAAAAGTGTTTTGATCATCCAAAAAATCGTGCCGCGGCCCGATTTTCCCCCCTCACCCGTAAAGGCGCCACGGCGGCGAGATGTTAACTACCTTGCCTGGTATACAGGAGTTCGTTCGGATTGGTATTGAACCTCGTGGTACAGGGGAGGTTCGATGCCAACCCTGACGCCTGCTCTATATTTGGAGTTTGCATGTCACTCTCCCCGTGGTCACGTCGATTTTGTCTCCAGGTCCTCCAGCTTTTTCCTCCACTTTTAGAATCGTGCGTTTAAAGTATTTGACTGATATAAATTCCGACGTGATAAGCCACTGCGTTGAGCTATCATTTGTGGCCAGGAAGATTCTCAAGTGGGCCTTACCTGTTTAAAATGAAAATAGCAGTAATAGCTACTAACCAATCCTGCCAGCTTAAAACATCACTCAACCATGTCACACAAAAAAAAACAAGAATTACATTTTAATCCTGTGAATAGAAGAGCTGTTTTGGTTTCGTAAAACGTGCAGTTTCTTTTTCATTTTATTTCGTGATATACTGTGGAGTCTTATCACGTGACTAGTTTGGCTTGTGCATATCCACCAATCAATGCACTCTTACTTATGAATGGGTTGTGATTACACGAACATGTTCTCCCCCGCCCCCACAATTTCGAGACTCGGTAAATCTTCATCAGCTTGTGCTTCGAACGAAGCAATCGAAGGGACTGCCTTTGCCCCATGTTCAGAAGATTTCCATTACACACTGCGTATGGTTATTGTGCAGTGTTTGAAGGCATATTTTTGGTTACCATTAAAGACCCAATCCGTCCCACCGCATCTGGCTAACGTGCATAGGTTGTAGGTTTTCTTTTTCTTTGCATACGGCAATGCCCCATATGTATACATTTTGTTCTGCCTTTCAATAGAAGCCTTCGCTATTCCCATGGCTAATTCATACCCCTCCCCCACCTCCCTCCTCTGCCTTCCCACCCTCCCCCCCTCAAAAGCTTCTGTAAAGCAGCTACAATCGCCATTCCACCGCATGCAAAAAAAATGTGGGGGAAAAGGTGCTTTTATAAGCTCAATTTTGAACGAACGATATCCAACCTCGAGGCAAGTGGTCCCACAGGGGCGATCGGGTTTCAATGCCAATGAACCGTGGCTCTTCCAAACCTCCCTCCGAGTCTTTCCTTGCCACACTTTGATGCCACCTGGTGACTGCATTTCAGCACAGCATGCAGTTAGAATTCCTGCGACGAGTTTGCAACCTGAACGCAGTGGTTAGTACGTGAGAAGGCATGTTTTCGATGACAAGGTGCAAATAAGAAAATCATTTTTTAAAATTCAAGCTCTGGAATTATGACAGAATTTTTTTTAAATTCATAATCGCCTGTATGCTGTAGCTCTCCGATGTGTGATTTTTGAATTGTGCCGCGTGTTTTTTCGGCCCCGATGTCCGACGTTTCGCTCCATGTGCAGGGACTGAGGAAGAAGAAGAAGCTGCCGGCACACGAAGCGCGCGGTACAACCCAATACAAAAATAATCCACAGGAAAGCTTCACCGGCACAGCCACGAAATCCAACGCGAGTTGGGGGTTGTACTTTTTTGTATTGGAGCAAGCACCTGCCACCCCGATTCACGCGATGTCTGTAGAAAGGCGTTACACAAAGCGTCATCGCCAACATTCCCATTCCCAGCCAGCTACGGTACCGGTCGGAGCCGAGCAGCAACAACAGAAAGATGATAGCAAATACAACAACATCAACAACAAACAACGCGACAAAAGGGGCCAAAACAAAACGGCGGCGTGTCTGCCACTCGTCGTGTCTTGTTGTGGACATTTAGAGGGCGCGAAGGCGGCGTTTTTGTAAGGCCACCCGGGGGAGTTCTTTGTGAGCTCCTCTCCGTCGCCACACTGCCTGACCCTCCTCTGTGCGCCGGCCGAGGAGGGCACGGTCGGCCGCCAGTCACAGCCACGAGACTGACGGCTCAATGTGCCCCGGGCACCCCCACCCAAGCGTCAGCTGCAGGGGCTACCCGCCCGGCAGGACCACAGACGGACATCGTGCGTCATTTTAGCTGACAACTAAAAAAGGAAAAAAATGGTGTGGTGAAACGAATTGAATGGGATTAATTATGCGGGTCTGCCGGGCACGCTTCGAATCACAGAAAGGGTGAGCACTGAAGTGGCCAACGTACGTACACAGGTTCGGGACGTCCTTTTTGACTCAGGATTATGGTGGCTAGTAGTGAATGCATCTGCATGGATATCTGCTGTGGGGACGGAGTGATGTGATTCGCTCGCGTGCTAGATATTTGTCCTATATTTTTACACAAATGTAAACAGTACGTAACAGGGAGGACCATTGCCCATGAAAATCTGGAAGTTTACCAGCATCGGTTTAAGCAACACTGACTGCTGCTGAGACAATGCATTTATTTAACCAATGCACTAATAGGCTGTGTGGTTCATGGGATGTGTAAAAAAAATCCCACTTATGTTTATCATGGAGAGCCAAATATGGGAAGGTGTATTATGAACGTATTTACATTTTCTCTAGAATCATTTAATATAGGCCTGGAGATCTAAGTTGACTCCCAATGGGAATTTCCTTTTTGTAAAGTTGGCTTTGAGAGTCGAGTGATATAATCAGAGCTGGGCTCTTCACCCTTTATCAGTTCCTTTACACGATTCATTGGAAAACACACAAATATTTGGCTTCAAAGTTCTCATTTCTCTTCCCATGTGTGCCGCCTGCCGCTGGACGAGAGGTGATGGGGCAGGGCATGCCGATGTTTTTGTAACCATCAGCTGCGTCATACTGGGCGTGGCTTGTGGGGGTTCCTGGTCTCTCAGGCAGGATATTGTGGCTGATACGGTTTTTAAAGGTTCTGAATAATTTTACAGCAAGTGGGTAGTCGATGACAATTTCCAGTCGATTTAATCAACTTAATCGTTGAGTCTCTCCGACTTCAAAGCTATCCAAAGCGCCACCCAGCCTTGATGAATATCACGCATAACACACAAATTATTATTATGATTCGAAAGCCTGATTCGATTCACTTTATTAAAAAAACTATTGCACAACTGGAATCATGAAATATACTGTATATTGCAAACCTTTACAGTTGTACAAATGGCAAAAGCTATTTTTGCAATGAGGCCGTCCATAAATGACGTCACGCACCTAGGGGGTGGGGGTTAGACATTTGTGACGATGTGTGACGAGGGGGGGGGGGGTTCATAAATGTGGCGTCACATCAAAATGCGCAAATGTAAATAAATATCGAATTGTTATAACACTAATTTAGATAAATTTTAATTACGAAATATTTAATTATTTAAATGTACTAAAGTCACCTTATATTTATTGCATGAAGGAGAATTTTGCTTCTCCATGGGAGAAAGGAGAAGCATACATTTTGAACATGTTTTTAAATTATTGTTATTAAACATTTTGATTCTAATGATTCTACCAGGGCTTTTCATTCTGTGGAATGAATGTGATTGTTATAATTGTACTCTCCATTTTGCTTCGTTCTACTACAAAGTTTCAAGTATTTTTTAGTTATAATTACTTTTAATATTTTATAATTATAAGATAATTTCCATATATTCTCACCATCTGCAGTTTTAGTTAGACGTTGAATATTTTCAAGTTAATTTTATGCTAAATTTAAGCTTTCCAATGCCTCCTTTTTAATAAATGTTTTCTCCTACAACATCAGAGTGCAGCGCCACATAAAATATGCACTACAATGCCCATAGTTTAAAGTGATTTGAAGCATGCTTTATATTTTCAGAATGGAAATGTAGTTTTTTTGGGGGGTGGGGGCAGAGCTTTGTGACGTCATATTTGAGGGGGGTCTGACTTTTTGTGACCCCGTGTGACGAGGGGGGGGGGATCAAAAATCGTCAAAAATCGCGTGACGTCATTTATGGACGGCCCCAATGAGCTTCCTGTTTGAGGATATATGTATTGTAATTTGACAAATTATTTTGCGATGTTGTGTTGGCAGTGGCAACAAAAACACCTCAACATACCGACTATAATCACCCAGGAATGTCTGTCCTTAACGCTCCTGACATCACTCCACGTCGACCAGCCACCCTCATTAATATTCATGAGCAGGTGACGTCCACCAAATGGACACCCCCCCTACCCCTTCTCATTAATAATCATGAGTGGGTGACGTCATTCAATATGGAATACTCCCCGCCCTCACTAATAATCATGCACAAGTGACGTCACTCTTCATTGAACACCCCCCCTCATTAATAATCATGAGCAGTTTTATTTTCAACGAGTGTCAGTTGTGAGTGGGATCTGAACCAGTCCTGACCTCTCTCCAAACCATTCTAGATTTAAAACGAATTTCTTAAGATTTTGAACTGATTTTTATGTTGCGTTTGCCGTCCTTCCCCTGCGCCTTCGATCAGCACGGTTAGCTACGTACGGTGCGAAGGAAGTTCAACATACGAAGCTCCTTCGCAGGTTTCATTTTCTAGACGATTTATTTGACATTAGCGTATTTACAAGGCGAGAGTACGACTAACACGTTCCACAAGGCTATCTGCAGCCCCGGTGGTTTCCACGAGATTAACCTCGAACAGTCCGTCTTGATGGTTTCCACCATGTAGATCTCGAACAGTCGGCCCCGATGATTTCCACGATGTCGATCTCCAACAGTCGGCCCCGATGTCGTCCACCTGCAGTTGTCCTTCAGTCCCCGAGCGCCGGGCCTAGCTCCCCCCTTCTACACCCTCTCGGGCACGTCCCGGTAACTTCCAGCACTTCCCCCGGAAGATTCTTCCAGCAGACTCCACCTTCTCCTACCTCCCTTCTAGAACCTTCCCTCGTGCAGTAGCCTGCACCTGTTTACACCCATCTCCACCCACCCCATTATAACCCACTTGCCATGTACGGTACCCCACACATACAAACGCCACCAACGGCAGGCTGTACTGACAATTGTAGTGAAGTATGGTCAAACAACCCCCACGAACAACACGTCATGGTGGGGGCATTCCTCCTGCAGTGGATTGGCAAATGGCTGTAAATTATTGGTTGTTATTTTTTTACAGTGTTTAATTTACAGCGTTAGAATTGTGTTACGAATGAAGATGTCAACTTAATAGGCAATGGAACATGATGAAGCAAAGTGAAAGTGAGCCTAATGGCGTTAGCACTCACTAAACATTGCACACCTCACTGTGCTAGGTTTTATTGCATTGTTTATTTATACCTGGATTTACCATCGGTGCTGAATCTTACATGCCGCGAAGCTAAATCGCCAGGTGCGATTACAATAAAATGTTTTAATACAATTTGCATTTGGTAGAAAACAAGAACCAAATGATCTCAAAACTACATAGAGATTAAGCTTCAGTGCTACAGAGATATTACGCTTGCATAAGAGACCAATTGAAATGAAGATTCCTGTTACATCATGTACGATTATTTAAAAAAAGTAATTTTAAAGCACCATTGCAAAAAAGAGTACGTGCTTATTTGAGTAGGTGCATAGTAGTAGACATTGTAAAGCCACGTCAACGTGTTTTGTTTTTACTTTGTAATTCGATCACAATTATTTGCCTCACGATACGGCATTCTGTAAACCTGTGCTTCTTGTGTTTAACTCATTTCAACCGCCTCTCCATTCACTTTCTTTTTGCCAGAACGCTTTTTTCTGAAATATAACACAAGGGGAAGTCACATACACGGTTATTAATTTGCTCCTTAAGTTTTACGCATCAGTAAAAACAAGTTCGTTTATTAAATCCAAGAAATGAAAGCATTTGAAGTTATTATTAAGCTTACATTTAATTTCATGAGGATGTTAAGACCAACATTAAATACAATTTCACAAATAACTGTTTAACATGACAGACGGTGTATACTTTACAGATCATCATCACTTGATATTTATACGGTCCCTCCCATGCATTACACCTCCAGGCACCATGTAGCAGGGGACCCCTAGTGGCAGCTGTCCCTGGGTGGCGGCACACGGTGTACAGAGCACTTGCCAGCCAGTGAGCATGAGTCTGCCATTAGCGTGGGTTGATGTTTTGATGTTTCGTGGCTTCCCAATGTATAACATTTGGAGCATATTTGGACCATATACTGTACTCTGATCCTTATATTTCATTCAGCCAGTTCTTAGTACTCAGCAGTTAAGCCGATCCTGCCTTAGGGGTGGTCATTAAGAAAAAGCCAGATTTTGGGAGAAACTTACAACAGGAACACTTCGTTTTGAATGTGACTGTCTGAACTTTAAAGTAGATTCAATAATATATGTCATCGTAACGAATGTCATCCTCATACTAGAGATTATCATTCAGAAATATCCTATAATGCTTTCTATTTATTCATTCATTCATTTAAAAAACCTTTACTCTTTGGTTCTTTCGGTAAAGTCACGTAGGCATAACATAAAATAAATCACGACGTTTCGAGCGCAACACAAGCGTCCGTCATCAGGTGCTTTCCCACCTGATGACGGGCGTAACACAAGCGTCCGTCATCAGGTGGGAAAGCACCTGATGACGGACGCTTGTGTTGCGCCCGAAACGTGATTTATTTTATCTTCTGCCTACGTGACTTTACCGAAAGAATCAAAGCGTATGGATTCCTGCAGTCACGAAAGCTTCAAATCAACATGAAAAAACCTTTCTCAAGGCCAAGGTGGGACGGATAACGTATTCATTGTGTGTGATGTCCGTCAGTACACTGCGATGATACAGTGTCAACGTGGCATCTAGATGCGACTTGACTCGTTCAATGCAACTCGGTGGCACGGCTCAGCTTCTGCGGTGAAAAAACAACCTGGCACCTGCTAAGCCGTGCCAGGCTGGCTCGGCACAAACACAGCGCTGCTCACTTCTACTTTGGAATAGAGGTGAATGGGTCCGGACGAGAGAACGTTCTTACCTTCGCAAGAAGAATACAGTTAAGGTGGCGGCCACCGTAGCTGCAAACATACAGCCCAGGACAATCCCGGTGACAGCTCCTGATGCAAACACAATTCCAGCGTGAACGCAATGAAATTCGCGAGTCAGTTTGGTCCAATGCACATGATGTTATCCGTCTCGCCTAGTATGCAGGAGGGTCGTGGGTTCGATCCTGACGCCGATGCCTGCTGTAAATTTGGAGTTTACATTTTCTCTCCGTGGTGGCGTGGTTTTTTCTAAGGGCACTCAAGGGTTTCCCTCCACATTTAGAAACATGCGTTTTGATGATTTGGGCTTTTCTACATTCCCACGTGATAAGCCACTTCGTTGAGCGATCATTTGTGGCCAGGTCGCTTCTGAAAAAGAGCTGCATACAGTAAGGGAAAAAAGTATTTGATCCCCTGCTGATTTTGTACGTTTGCCCACTGACAAAGAAATGATCAGTCTATAATTTTAATGGTAGGTTTATTTGAACAGTGACAGACAGAATAACAACAAAATCCAGAAAAACGCATGTCAAAAATGTTATAAATTGATTTGCATTTTAATGAGGGAAATAAGTATTTGACCCCCTCTCAATCAGAAAGATTTCTGGCTCCCAGGTGTCTTTTATACAGGTAACGAGCTGAGATTAGGAGCACACTCTTAAAGGGAGTGCTCCTAATCTCAGCTTGTTACCTGTATAAAAGACACCTGTCCACAGTAGCAATAAATCAATCAGATTCCAAACTCTCCACCATGGCCAAGACCAAAGAGCTCTCCAAGGATGTCAGGGACAAGATTGTAGACCTACACAAGGCTGGAATGGGCTACAAGACCATTGCCAAGCAGCTTGGTGAGAAGGTGACAACAGTTGGTGCGATTATTCGCAAATGGAAAAAAACACAAAAGAACTGTCAATCTCCCTCAGCCTGGGGCTCCATGCAAGATCTCACCTCGTGGAGTTGCAATGATCATGAGAACGGTGAGGAATCAGTCCAGAACTACACGGGAGGATCTTGTCAATGATCTCAAGGCAGCTGGGACCATAGTCACCAAGAAAACAATTGGTAACACACTATGCCATGAAGGACTGAAATCCTGCAGCGCCCGCAAGGTCCCCCTGCTCAAGAAAGCACATATACATGCCCGTCTGAAGTTTGTCAATGCACATCTGAATGATTCAGAGGACAACTGGGTGAAAGTGTTGTGGTCATATGAGACCAAAATGGAGCTCTTTGGCATCAACTCAACTCGCCGTGTTTAGAGGAGGAGGAATGCTGCCTATGACCCCAAGAACACCATCCCCACCGTCAAACATGGAGGTGGAAACATTATACTTTGGGGGTGTTTTTCTGCTTAGGGGACAGGCCAACTTCACCGCATCAAAGGGACGATGGACAGGGCCATGTACCGTCAAATCTTGGGTGAGAACCTCCTTCCCTCAGCCAGGGCATTGAAAATGGGTCGTGGATGGGTATTCCAGCATGACAATGACCCAAAACACACGGCCTAGCCAGTCTCCAGACCTTAATCCCATAGAAAATCTGTGGAGGGAGCTGAAGGTTCGAGTTGCCAAACGTCAGCCACGAAACCTTAATGACTTGGAGAAGATCTGCAAAGAGCAGTGGAACAAAATCCCTCCTGAGATGTGTGCCAACTACAAGAAACGTCTGACCTCTGTGATTGCCAACAAGGGTTTTGCCACCAAGTACTAAGTCATGTTTTGCAGAGGGGTCAAATACTTATTTCCCTCATTAAAATGCAAATCAATTTATAACATTTTTGACATGCGTTTTTCTGGATTTTGTTGTTATTCTGTCTGTCACTGTTCAAATAAACCTACCATTAAAATTATAGACTGATCATTTCTTTGTCAGTGGGTAAACGTACAAAATCAACAGGGGATCAAATACTTTTTTCCCTCACTGTATTTACTTTGTTCCAGGGACGTATCCCTCACGTAAATGAAAAAACTTACCGTACATTTTTTAAAAAGAGCTTCTTAGCTCGATGAGCCTTACCCTAAAAAGACTGATTGACCGATCTATGTGCAACACAAGTTTATTGTATAATGCAGGTATCCTCTTTGTTTTTTTTGGTAAAGTCACGTATAAATAAGAAATAATAAAATAATAGCGTACAACGTTTCGGTTGCAACACAAGCAGCCATCATCAGGTACAGAAGAGCTAAATTTACGAGAGAGAGGAAACACATAACCCCAGATGTATATACAGACACCCAAGTAGGGGGTAACTAACACAGATACAACAGGGACACAGAGAGAGAAGCATACCAAACAAACAGGGTTTAGCAAAATTTGGAAACCATATAAAGCAACACAGACGGTCGGTCAAAACACAATTAACGCATAGTCTGGTTGATTACGCTATTTCAAAGATTGCTAAATTGCAAGTTAAGTATGAAATTTAAAATACAGACCGCGCACACACACATAGAAATCCAAGTAGAGCGAATCAGCACAGACACGCACACAGTGAAGTCGCCTTAAATAGGCAGAGAAGGTATGGCTGAGAGACAATGGGACAAATTAGAATTAGCATGAGGTAATTCCTGCAGTCACGAAAGCTTCGAATCAAGTCTGAACCACCTCTACGGGGAGGTATGAGGTCTGTGTCTTTGTGTTGTCTCTGCTTGTGTATCTGCATTTGTGCCTTGGCTGGGATTTGTGTCTCTGTGCTGTCTCTGCCTGTGTGTGGGCCTTGGTGTTTCCGAGTGTGTGCTGCCGCGCCCCCTTTGCTCCATGCATGCCTCATGCTAATTTGTCCCATTGTCTTTCAGCCTTACCTTCTCTGCCTGTTTAAGGCGACTTCACTGTGTGCGTGTCTGTGCTGGTTCGCTCTACTTGGATGTCTATGTGTGTGTGTGCGCGGTCTGTATTTTAAATTTCATACTTAACTTGCAATTTAGCAATCTTTGAAATAGTGTAATCAACCAGACTATGCGTTAATTGTGTTTTGACTGACCGCCTGTGTTGCTTTATATGGTTTGCAAATTTTGCTAAACCCTGTTTGTTTGGTATGCTTCTCTCTCTGTGTCCCCTGTTGTATCTGTGTTAGTTACCCCCTACTTGGGTGTCAGTATATACATCTGGGGTTATGTGTTTCCTCTCTCTCGTAAATTTAGCTCTTCTGTACCTGATGATGGCTGCTTGTGTTGCAACCGAAACGTCGTATGCTATTATTTTATTATTCCTTATTTATACGTGACTTTACCGAAAAAAACAAAGAGTAATTCCTGCAGTCACGAAAGCTTCGAATCAAGTCTGCAGGTATCCTTTCAAAAAGAGTCAAGTAGTGTGTACTAATGTAATCTAGCACAGCGTGGGGCTTCCACATATTCTTTTTTTAAAAAGGTCAAATTTTAATTTAAAACAAACGCGATGCAAGCGATCCACGAAATAAAGGTGCATGATGCAAAAACACCTGGCCACCATCCTCATTAACACTGCCCCATAATTGTACAATAGCTTACGTTTCATGGGGTAAACTCAAGTCCAATTGCCCACACCCCCCACCCCTCTCTGATTTTAAATCACAACATTAAGATGCAACTTAAACTGTGAGCTGAATTCATTTGTGAGGAGAGCAGCACGTACAGTGTATGCAATGTAAGCAGGCCCAACACCTGGCATTTAAAGATGCGATTCAGAACATTGTGAACAGTGTTCTTGTTTGGGAGGTGTGGGGGGGGGGGGACTGCCATACCAAATACCAAAACAGTTGAGAACCATTACTGAGTTCATCCCGTGAGATGGCAGTGGTCGAAGTAAAAAAAAAGCCCCACCCTGGTTTTTCGCACGTGGAGCAAAACAACAACGAAAATGGGACAGAGTTTTTTTTATTCTTCTTCTTCATAACACGGGGACACCTGCTCATTGTGAGCTGGCCGTGGGTGGGCCCTCTCACTGGTGGCGTCTATGAGGGGCGGGCGGTAATCTGAAGCCTTCCGGCTTGTGTCAATGTATTGCAAGAAAGGGTAAAAACTATTCTTGTTCTTTCATACTTTGATACCGGCAAAAAGGGTTCCGTTTTTGTTAGCTTGTGTCAATATTTGCGGTTTGAGGGGGAGTATGTTGGTTGGGCCCTCGTCGCTTTGACAGTGAGAGCTCAGTGGCACCATTATCCGCACATGACTCACCATGGGTCTCTTCAACCCCCCCTCTCGCTTCGAACGTGCACACAATTAACGAGGATTTTGTTCTGCTCACGACATGGCCGTCAACGTTATGCATTTGCTTTTCACTCATACGTAGAGTTAGAATGACTCTGACAAAATGTAAGAGTACAAAAAATAAACCGTTATAAAATACAATTCGTAAGGATTGCATGTAGCTGCATCTGAAAATGAATTTCAATAAATTCCACGCACACATCAGCAACATGGCACAACAAGCCCATTGATTGTGTGATTTATTTTACTTGAAAATCAGAGTTTGGAGGGGGGGGGGGTCAACTCAACCCTTTACACCTTCCAGGTCAATAAAATTGGAACTACTTTGTGGAAAGTCAACAGTGGTTGTTATTTTGTTCACGGGTTTTTTTTGCTTTAATCGCACGCGTGATATTTCCCAGTTCATGCTCTTGTTGTGCAATTTGCCTTTTGTAACCCTGGTCTCACAAAAAAAGATATGTGTCGTCTCAGTGGGCTCTCATCAGGCTGAAAATAAAGGTACTGTATCTCTCTCTCTCGGTGGAGGACCTGTTCAGATATTTGTCGCCGATGTTGGCTTTGAGGAGGAATGGAACTCAGGTAGCCAGGTTCAGAGAGCAGAGCTCTAACCACTAAACCACCCCACTCCCTAACAATAACTACAACAACAACGGACACCATTCGCCGCTCAGCTGCTGTGACGTCACCATGGCGCTTGGGCCAGGCTAGGTGCACTTTGAGGCCACGTGATGTTTCAATAGGTTTGCTGGCAGGAGGTCCCAGGACACAGCCAGGTGCCATGGGTTGACTGGTTGAGACGAGTGGCAGATGCACCACGTGTGCCCCCCTACTGTGCCAACTTGGCACAGCTGGCACAGCGACTACACGTCACACTAACACACGTAGATGACACGTTCGTCATCTGGCCACATGGCCGACCAACTCTGAACCAATTCCTCAACCACATCAATTCCATACACCCAGCCATCAAATTCACCATGGAGGTGGAAAAGGATGGAAAGTTACCATTCCTGGATGTTTTAATTGAAAAGAGACCAGATGGCTCAAGGGGACACTGACTACAGGAAAGCCACCCATACGGATGCCGACCTAAAACATGACTCCCACCACCATCCAGCCCAGAAGAATTCCCTCATCAAAACTCTACACCATAGAGCTAGACGTATTTATGGCCGTCATAACCTAGCCAGTGAACTGGAACACGTGCACCAAGCTCTCAAGAGTAATGGATATTCAGACCACACAATCCGTAAAGTTATCACCCCAACCGTTGGGAAAGAACCATCTGAGGACCCAATCAAAACCATCACCTTGCCATACATAGCAGGGGTCACTAAAAAGATTTCCAAAATCATGAGCAAACTCAAGATCCTGGTTATATTTAACACAGTACATAAAATTTGTGATCTGATCCCATCTGTGAAGGATGTGATCCCTGACATGCAATACCCTGGCGTCTACAAACCAAGCTGTGTCTGCGGCAGTAGTTACATTGGGGAAACTAAGCGACATGTCTCAGACCATTTTCGTGAACATAAGGCAGATCTGAAGCACGGTAGGACCAATACCTCGGCTGTGGCTGATCATTGTTTTAATGCGGTGGGCTCACACGAAATTGATTTCTCTAAGACAAAGGTATTTTGCAAGCCAACTGGCTACCAACAAAGATTCATTCGTGAAGCCATCCATATATATAGACACAGACACAATTTCAACCGAGAAGATGGGTACAAACTGAGCAATCATTGGAAGGACGTTATTAAACCGGTTAAAATCATAACTGGCTGTGATTTTTCCATCCTACCTTCCGATGTTAATAGTTATTTTCGACTCTCTGGTTTTTCATTAACAGATTAAATGTCTCACACTAACACAGCCACCGTCGCTTGTGTCCTCGATGTGGCGGTGGCTCTGCGATCCTACAGTTACGTGCTAATCTCTCACAATACAATGGCCACCTCCGTGCCTTCGTCGGCGTGGAGGTAGCTCTCCGATCTTACATTTATATACAAACTAGCTTGACTACCCGGCTTCGCCCGGGACTTGGATTCACCACGCCCGGCCGCCTTTGTCCCCCCAGTGGCGATGTTCACACAGCAGACCAGTTACTCGTTTGAGGCTGAGTCGACGTAGGGGAGGCCCAGGACCGGTTAAAATAATCATCACCGGTGGTGACCATGAGCGGGAATCGATCTCGGATCGCCGGGTTCATATCGCAGCACACTAACCACTACACTACAATGCGTTACGCTTCCACACACACACACAGACACACACACAGACACACACAGACACATACAGACACACACACAGACACACACACACAGACACACACAGACACACACACACAGACACACATACACAGCGCGCTAACCACTACACTACAATGCGTTACTCTTCCACATGCGTGGGTCACATGACAGATTTGACGTCACAGCTCACTTGCCGTGCAAAAAATATATATGCATTATTGAGCTCCCCCCCCCCCCCCATTTTAAACCACAAAAGTGTATTTTAATAATTTTTGCATGGTGTACAGTCTGGAAAGTACCCACATGGCAAATTTCAAGTTTGTTGCATGTCGGGAAGTACACGAAACATTTTGAACAGACACACATAATCACAACTTTGCCTTTTATATATATGGAGATTTATCACTTTAACATCACTAGCCTCGCCCACTTCGCTTATGACCCCTGGTCTACACCAAATTCAAACCTTTAAAACAGCCTGCCCTCAGCAGCTTTCCCGCTCTTTTTTCTCCTGATGACGATTGCTTGTGTTGCGATCGAAACGTTGTGGTTGTTTTTGTTATTTTTGTTATTTTATTTTAACCCATCTACGTGTCTTCACCGAAAAACCCAAGAATATGAATTCCCTGCAGTCACGAAAGTTTTAAGTCAACACACTCACATAGTCTGGTCATACACGTGTGAATATAAGACGTGCCAGGGTTGACGTTAACGAATTGGAGCGTCACTTATTTTCATCAGATTTAGAGGCATGGATACGATAGAGCCCAAGTGACCCTGGAGGGGTGTGAGCATTTTAATAAACTCTCTGCCACGCCGGCAGATCGAGCGGGGGGACGTCTGGATTGCAGGTCCATTGTGCTGACCAACTTACCAACCGTGGCAGCGACCTCTGACTCTTTTTTTTTACGATCAGAGGAAAACAAAAAGATGCTCGGCTATTCGTGCCCCCCCCCCCCCATCTCTCCATACGACGGGAGTACACTTCCTGCAGGTGACAGTGAGCGTTCACAGCTGCCAAGAAAGGATCCCCCTCGAGTGAGGAATTTAAATGCTGCATGGAAATTTAGGGCCATAAATTTGGCTGCGACGCTGGGCACGCGGTGGCGGTGGCGGTGGGGGGCGGTGGTGGTGGCGGTGGGGGGCGGTGGGGGGGCGGTGGCGGTGGGAGGCGGTGGGAGGCGGTGGCAACTCTCGTGAACGGTGCCGATGCTTTTGAATTCCTTTGTTGAAGCAGACGGCACAAGTTGACGCAACGCAACCCCCCCCCCCCCCCCCCCGCTTTGTGAGGGCCTGTGCGCACTCCCATTGTGTGCTCGAAACGCGTTGTTGACCTTCGCGAAAGAAAGTGAATTTTTTTTTTGCAGACGGAGGGGAGACTCGCCTTGAGACAAGGTGCGCTTGACGTTTGTCACGTTGCCGTGAATACTATTAAGCAATGTAATAACCCGTAACTTATACTCTCATTTGCATTTTCCATGCATTCTATGCCAAATTGACTGCTGTTCAGCCACGCACGAACGTAACAGAAATGCCAACGCCTCTGCTCACCAAGCACCCGTGCATAACGCAGCATTGCCTAACATCTGGCTTTGAGAAAAATCCTGCGCATTTTACGTCCAATTAAAACCACGCGAGGAACAGTTTCTTAAAAAAAGCAGTCAGCCATGCTTTTGTTGATGATCAAGAAAATACCATGAAGTCCAATCACGTGCCTGTGACCAAATAACCCAGAACGCCACCAATCTCATCAGATCTGGGAAGCAAAGTAAAATTGAGCCTGGATAGCGCTTGAATGGGTGGCCATCACTTATAGCTGTGTTTGAGTTTCAGCCATCCGTTATTTAAAAAGCTATGTTCTAAATTTTTAGCAAGTAGATGGTATCAGCCTGGTCACTGTTGACTACACAATGAAACAAAGATATCGATGCCACGTCATATTTGACCTTCCAATTACTTTGGCTACAATCAAGCTCGAACAGTGAAAAACATGATTTTGATCGTCAGGCAGCAAACACAAATCGGACAGCAGTATGTGTGGGAAAGTGCAGCCCCTGCTGTGTATTACAGTGTTTCTCAAACTTTCTTTGCCAGACGACTACTCAGCCGATGAAAATTTTCTATTTTACCAGGTAAGGCCCACTGAGCTGTATTCCAGAAGCGACCTGGTCACAAATGATAGCTCAACGAAGTGGCTACTCATGTGGAAATGTATAGCAGCCAAATGCTCTAGGCGCGTGTTTCTAAATGTGGAGAGAAAAACCGGAGGACCTGAAGAGAAATCCACACCACCACGTGGAGAGAGACCCGGCAAACTCCAAATATACAGGCACCAGGGTCGGGATCGAAGCCACGACCTCTTCCATACCACCCAGCCCACCCCACTCCTGGTGACAAAACGGATTCACTTCTCTCTAAATACCGATAACCAAAATGAACATAATATTTTTTAAAATTATGATATAAGTTTTTTAGGGAGGGAGGGGGCATTTCGATTTTACGGTTCGGTTTAGTTTTACTAGGGTAAATTTTGATTTAAAGCTTTCGTGACTGCAGTAATTCATATTCTTAGCTCTTTCGGTAAAGTCACGTTGAAGGGAAACAATAATATATATTTTATTATCTTATTGTTTCCCTTCAACGTGACTTTACCGAAAGAGCTAAGAATATGATTTACTAGGGTAGTTTACCCTACTTCATTTTAAAATGAATTATTATGAATAAAAAATAGTTTAATGTCCGAAACAAAATATATGAACATTGTCATTATTGTCCAGTTCAACCTGCGTTTGCATCACAGCCTCGCAGACCACACTCTGAGAAACACTGCTGTTTAGTTTGTTGTCTTTCCTCCCGCACTACGATTATTACGGTTGGCTGCATACGGTGTGAAATAAGTTCAACATACATACAAAGGAAAAACAAGCTGTTCCAAGGGTTTTTTTCCTCCCCGAGAAATCCATTCTTAGGCTCACGTGGTACACACAGCACTGTGAGACTTTCCCAAGGCATGCATGCCTTATTATATGATGTTGCTGATAGCGAAATTATAATAGAAAAATGAAAACATCAAGTACCTGTGTCCAATCCAGAAGGGCCCGACAAAGCAGCTGACTTCTCCACCATGGTCCTCATCGCTGAAACGCCCACACACAGTCACAATCAGGACTCCGATTAACGCACGTAAAGCAGACACACTACGCTGCAACACTTGGGCCTACAATGTTTAAGAATGGCCCACATCGCTCAGTGGAAATGTTAACGAGTTGCTAGAGGTGTTTTTACTCATGTGCAGTAGTCAGGTAAAAGTATCCCTACTCATCTCCCCTGCTGGGACGGAGCCTGCAAGCAAAACTCCACATTTCTATGCCGTGGTCAGTCGTTCCCACAAAGCGGTAATAATTATATCAATCCCTGCATAGATGATAGGTTGAGTCAACTTGCGAATGGAATTTGAACTCTACATTATGAGTCAAATAATCTAACCACAACTTCATCCAGACTTTGGTGATTATTAATAGAAAACGCATTGCTTTATGGCGTTATGTTGTGCAGAGATATAATGAAAACGGGGGCTATAAGTACATAAAGTGAGGTGGGTGGTTCAGAGGGCAAAGGTAATTTTTATTTAGCGCGTCAGCACCTCCACGGTCACGTATTTATCAGCACTGAGCTCTGTTGTGGATACCACTTTAAAAGTAATGGAGATTTGCCACCTTGATCTGAATCTATAAAGAAAATGACAAACTAAACATTATTTATTTGACCAGCTAAGGCCCACTGAGCAACTGTATATAGCTCTTTTTCAGAAGCAGCCTGGACAAAAATAATCGCCCAATGAAGTGGCTTATCATGTGGACATTTATAGCAGCCAAATACTCTGAACGCATGTTGATTCTAAATGTGGAGGGAGAAAACCGGGGGTCCTGGAAAAAAAAATCCACGCGACCACGGTTAGAACATGCAAACTCGAACTATACAGGTGTCAGGGTTGGGATCGAACCCACGACCTCCTGTATACCAAGCAAGGCAGTTAACATCTGGCCACCGTGACACCTCACTCTGGCCAGGGAGTGCTGTGGCGGAGTGTTTTGGAAGGTGACAGTCAAAATCCCTATCAAGTTCTGTTCAAATCCCAGCCAGTAAACTGCTCAGGACATGGCCTAGCAGTTGTTGCAGAGGTTTCACGATTCGAATTCGCGCCATCCGCTGCACAGTTCACGTTAAAGGTCCCCTTACATCATTCGCAAGAGTAGACTAGTGTATGCTGGTGGCATGGTCCGAATTTCTGTAAAAAAAAATAAAAATTACTCGCAAATCACTCAATTGCGATTATACGTAGCAATCATTGTCGCCTCCTGTAAAACTTTGGCACAATCCTGAAAAAAGAGTCAGACTCGGTGAGGCTTTGCTGGGTAAGCAAGCGTAATTAAATACAAAAGTACAATAAGGGGAATTATAACTACATGAAAAATGTAACACAAATTTGTGGAGAATCAACAATGGTCACCGTGTGGACAACCCCATTGTGCTCGTCATGTGAATAGGGAATTTCCATGACTGGATCAGGAGCCACTGCCAAAGAGGAGCACTGGACAATTCGCAGTGTCTGTCGGTCAAGTCACGTAGATAGAAAACAAAAAATCTAATTCGAAAGCATAAAACCCACGACGTTTCGATCGCAACACAAGCGGTCTTCTTTTTTTGTCTTTCCACCTGAAGAAGACCGCTTGTGTTACGATCTTTTTTTTTGTTTTTCCACCTGAAGAAGACCGCTTGTGTTGTGATCTTTTTTTGTCTTTCCACCTGAAGAAGACCGCACGTGTTGCGATCGAAACGTCGTGGATTTTTTTTGCTTTTAAGTTAGATTTTTGTTTTCTATCTACGTGACTTTACCGAAAGAACCAAGAATATTAATTCCTGCAGTCACGAACGTTTTAAGTATTTCCTTCACTCGTTTACCGAAAGGCACTACATAGAAACAAAGGTGCGATAGGAATTGGCTCGGTGGTAGGTGGATGTTGCACCACAAGACGATGAAGGATGGTGACGGTTTGTGCAGGCCTTCACTCAGCAGTGGATAGATCATGGCTGATGATAATGATTACGACGACAATCTAGCTTCCATTATAGACCCGCTGCTCTCATAAAACTAACTACAGTACTTGAAATCTGTGAAAAAAGAGCGTTATAGCTCATTGGATTCCTCCAGCATAAATAAATATTCTGATTCTGAACCTTTCCCACTGGGAAACGTCATCTCTAGCTTCAACAAAGGCCACCATGTAGTTATTCTGATGACACTCAGCTCGATGTGCCCATTTTACTTCAGACCCAATCTCACTGTCCATTTTCACTTCCTGCCTTGATGCAGCCTCGTCTTGCATTGCGTCAAACCTTCTTAAGCGAAGCACATCCCCAGGGTGAAGGCCTAACCAGCAACAATTATTGTGTCTGTAAAGACTGCAGTTTGAGAGGGAAGGCACTCTGAACCATCACACTGGTGGACAGGGTGCACAACCCTCAAGTCGTCATTGATACTGAGCTCTTATTCTCGTTCCCCCATCTCCAAACTTCATAGATTCCCCGAGCTCGACCTATATGACATCTCCCACACCCGTTAATTCCTCGCTCCATTTGCTGTTGAGATCCCTATCCATGCCTTCGTCACTTCTGGACTCGACTTCTGAAACTCTGTTCCTCACCGCGTACCCTCCCATCCAAATAATCTGTTGTAAAAGAATGTATTTTAATCATGAAAACTGGACCAGTTTTTTTGTCTTCCCGAGTTTCATCGGCAGTCAGTGTAATGTTCCACCAAGAGACTGAGGCGTCCGTAGAGTGGCCTCTAGCTCTGCGATTGGGGAATGAACCTTATGGCGGTACCCAGGGGTACCATAGTACCCCGGCTCTCGCATGATGTCCGTGATGCAGTCGTTTTGAGTCTGTTGATGGTCGGCGATGCGGCAATCGACTCATCTCGACGAGCTGTACACGATGCATTATGGTGCACACGAGCGTTCAGGGTTTCAGCGCAATCGCGGATTTCGGATTGATTGGTACCCCAGTCGCGTTGTGAAGTACACCCCTGGTAAAAAAAAATGTGTCCCAGAAATAAAATATTTAATTGCCTCGGACATTTAGTATGATTTGGTACCCCGGGTACCGCCATAAAGATCGAATGTACATCTTGCATGCAAGTTCTACTCCGCACCCACTGTTGCCTCACCTATTGGCACAGACATTGGAAAGAGTGAACAACCATAACGTTTAATGATTAAGCATTACGATCACGCCACTGTTTGAGCAACGTGTGTGTAGATATGGGCAAAGCCATTCACAAGCTAAACCAGTTCACAGCGTATCGTTGAAAAGCCATTACAAAGGTTTTAAGAAGCCCTGCTCCTTCGTCTGGCAGACTGGTCCTTGCCATAGTAATGTAGAATTTCCGCCGCTGGTTCTGGGCCACCTATGAAAAAGAGTGCTCGCTCACGCTCATATGGACAAGGAGACTCTGACTTTAATTCTAAACAACCTATTATATTTCTCTTCTGGGTTCTTTCGGTAAAGTCACGTAGAATGGAGATAAAATAATAATAAAAAATAATAACAGAAAAAAATTCTCACGACATTTCGGCCACAACACAAGTAGCCTTCCTCAGGTGAAGAAACAGGACTGTCCAGAAGACAGCGCTTGAGTGAAACAGGACCGCTACTTGTGTTGTGGCCGAAACGTCGTGAGAATTTTATTCTGTTATTTTTATTATTAATTTTATTACTTTATCTCCATTCTACGTGACTTTACCGAAAGAACCCAGAAGATGAATCCCTGCAGTCACGAAAGTTTTAAATCGAAACTTAACCTATTATATTCCTAATACTGTATGCCCAAATAAGTCAATGTTCATCATCATCATGAGTAGCCATGATCAATCCACTGCTGGATAAATGCATCCCCAAACTTCCACTCTCTCTTCATCCTGAAATGTAATGTTTCTTAATGTGGAACGGAAAAACCCGGAGGATCCGGAGGAAAAAAAACCACGCCACCATGGGTAGAAAAACATGCAAACTCCGAATATACAGCAGACGTCAGGGTCGGGATCGAACCCACGACCTCCTGCATACCAGGGAAGACAGATAACATCTCGCCATCCTGGTGGACGTCCTCTTGGATGCGTTCAATTCCTTGGCTGCTACTTTAGGACTATTCTTAACCATCGCTTCTAGCCGCGTGTCTTGCCCAAGCCCATTTACTCTTCTGAATGGTTTGAATTCTCTTCAACCTGCCTATGCACAATCGACTCCATCACTACATTAAAGTCACAACTAAAAAATGCATCTCTGTACGCTCGCATACAACACGTAACTTACAGCCACAATTATCTTTTATATTTATGTTTCCGGGTATAACGATGCGACGATGGCGCTTTGGGTGGCACATTTGTGCCAGAAAGGCGCCACGTGTTCACCAAAAAGAAATGACATGACTTGACGATGATCTCGAATTCACGCGTTGTTCCTCCTCTTTTCCATCTCTCCGAAAAATTCCAAGCTTGCATCTCCCCACGCTTCTTTGCATGCGGTTGCTCCATTGCTGTTGTTAACGACCGCGTTTCTGGACCATATGTCATGGCGGGCAGCGTGCACCAATTAAAAATTACCATATTTTAAAGTAATACGGCCTAATTGACCGTTAAATCCGTGAACAAAGTGCACTCGTAATCTAAGAACACACAAAGCACGCCGAATAGAGACGCACACTCGCGCATGCTGCCACTCGAAATGTGCGCGTGTTTTTTTTTGTTTAACGCTCTTTTGCAGTAATACGCACGGTTCTCTCTGCGGTGATTGTGTTGAGTAGTTTATATATATCTTATAAATATTTGTCAATTTGTGTTTTTTTTGCAGCGTCTGCTGCCGTGCTGTGATGGCTCGCGCGACGGCGACCATCCCGCGTCGGTGCCCGTCTCTCTCGCCAGATGAGCCCTCGAATAAACGGCACGCGCCGAATAAACGCACGCGCCTAATAAACGGCACGCGCCGAATAAACGGCACGCGCCTGTGGCTCACAAAGGCGCGCACAGCGTGAAGGCGGCACGGTTAATTATGATCACGCGCACTTCATCTCCGAATG